TCTGCAATTCGGGAAATACATAGGAAATTACGTGCGCCTTAGCGAGCGCACTGGGAATTGGGCTCGGCAGTTGGGAATTCCGGGATAAGCGGAACGTCGACGTATCCTTTTCGTGTGTGTGAATGTTCTTGGTCGCGTCGGGGAAAACTCTCGGAATTTTGTGCGAATACGAATACGCATAGGATTTTATTTTCCCGCGTCACTCTTTCGCGCGCGGATATGGTGATCTCAATTTTGAATTAGGATAGAAGCAAGTTGTAACTGTTTCGGTGCCTTTTTTTTTCTCTCTTTTTTTTTACGGCGCCTCGCACGCAAATGCTCTCTCCCCTCTGCCCCCCCCCGCATCGCTCCCTCCCGCGCTCCCGTACCCTTCTCCCTCCTCTTTCTCTCTCCCCGTAACTGTTTTCCTTCTCTCTCTCTTTCTCCCGCTCTGCTCTTTGCGCGCCCATTTCCTTTTTTTGATCATCTGAATCTTGGACCCGTCTTGCGCTACTTCTCGCGTCTTTTCTCTTCTCACCCTCTGAGTCCAACGCACGACGCCCGGTCGATCCGTCGATAACTCCCGTTCGCCAATCAGGTGCGTGGATCAATAGAATCTGATTGGTTGAACCTCGAGTTCCGAGGGATCAACATGGCGTTCACATAACACTCTTCGCAAAGTCTTCTCCTCCTGCTTCTCCTCTTACACCTCAGCTTCCCCGTCGCTTTCTCCCCCTTCTGTCTCCCTTGTCGCAACTATAAAACCCGCAAGCGCGCCCGCAAATCTCTCTTACGTTCTCGACTCTCAAGCCAGCTTCCGGGAAGCAGTGGCTAGGCAAAGTGTTTGGTGCGAGTCGGAAAGTCCTGTCGGGCTGACGATAGGCTGGCCGGTTGCGCGCTGGATCGCCACGACGGACTGTGGGATCTGGGCGAACCGTGTCGAGTTTACGACAGCGGGGTGACGATCGCAGTGGTGGGAGTCAGCACCCGACGGTCGGGATCGTCGGTGCGGGTATGAGGATCGATGAGTGGAGTTGAGTGAGCGATTGGCCCGGGGTCATATTGGAATTAACGACGAATGCGCCTTTGT